TGGCGTCCTTCTAAATGGCGCTCTACCAAAATGTTGGTTTTGCCTTTACACTTGAAAGAGGTGTTCACAATTTTGTCTTTGTCTTTTAAAATATAATGCATATACAAATTTTAAGTATAAGTTTAAAACTTAGTTCACACATACCTTTAGCTAGCACATTTATAGTTTCACCCATTGAAAAACAAAGGAAAAGTTTGAGCACAAATTATTGTAATTTTGACTTGAAATTTCAGAATGTGACCTTTCCAAGGTGAAGAAGGGAACTGGAGTCTGATGTTCAGCATTTTGACTCTGCAGAAGAGATTTTTTCTTGCAAGTAGCCATGAGAGTAGGAAGTTAGAAGGCAGAGCCAGGAGGTCAGACATAAGAGTCAAGGAAGTATGAATGACATCATCATCCCTAAGTACCCTCTCAGAAGATGAATGAGCTCTCTCTTGTATTACAATGCTAAAGAGCATTAGAAGGTGATATGATATCTAGACAACACATAAGATAAATGCCTCAGAGTATGCTAGAACAGCTTCCCCCCCACACCCTCCACAAGTACATAAATCCTTTGGTGGTCTCAATAATACAGTATGTGGCTGATGAGTATTATATATTGTGGTCAACTTGTTCTTGACAAAATTCATTTAGATTTAACAAGTACCTTGAACACTGTCTAATTTAGTTACTTAAGCTGAATAACTCAGTGTAACTAGATACCCTTTAGCTGACTAGACTCACAGCCCTTTTGGGACACTGGATTTTTTTCACTAGTTGCTGAATAAAAAGTAAGCAGATGTCAACAGAAGAAATATCTCATCTTTTTTAAAGCTGGCACAAAATGTATTTATCGTGATAAAACTTGACACAAAATGTTTTTGTCATAATAAAACTTGAAATGCAAGTTTCATGGTCTTAATGAATTCCTTCTGAAGGGAATGCATGCCACAAACAAAACACACAAAGTTGCTGTAATGTTGGTTCAAGGTACATTCTGTCAGAAATGGATTCAGTCTGAATTTCAGTCTTTGTGCTTCAAAAGCACAGTCATTCCAGTATGATTTATGTAATCTTTCCTAAAGTAATTTTGGAATATGCAAAGTTGCAGCAGACTTCACTACCCAGCCTCCTCTTTTGCTTATGCAAACACCCCTTAGTATTTTCAGGAGGAAAATTTGACTAAAATATTTAATTGCATTCCTGTTTCAAAAATTAAAAAAGTAAAAATCCCTCAGTAGAAAATCAACTTCAGTTTGGAATAAAAATGGACTCTGGATCTGTGGTGTGTGTAGCTGGAGGGCAGTGTTCTGATGCATCATATTTAACCACTAAAGTAATCTTTCCTCTTTTCAATATTTACTCAGTTGTTATTTTTATAGAAATAAAATGATGCTCATTTGAAATAAAATGCAAGACAAGAAGACCCTTACTTTAGCTCTAACTAAATGCTGCAAAGTCCTTTATTCTAAACCAAAAGCTGTCAGACTTTTAGCATTAATAGAAGAGTGGATCTTTCTTGACAAATGCCCCCATAAATTAGATATTAGCTTTAGTCAAACTCTGTCTCTCTCAGGAAATATTTCCACTTGCATATTCAATTGGAAGGACCTTACACGATGCCCACTTACTGCTATGAAAATCTAGGCTTCTGAGATGAAGGCAAAGAAAAATTTCTGTGAACAAAAGAATATCTGGAATAACAGACCTTGAGCTTACGCAGAGATTTCTTTTTATAGAATGTGAGTTTCCCTCACTTTTTGATATGTCTGTCTGCTGCTCTGTCCACCTATCTATCTGTTTATCTATCACCATTGCAGTGGTAACATGCAGTATCAATTGGATTTTAAAAGACATAGATCTTTTATATTAGCTGTCCTTTTTTATAATACCTTTTACAAATTTAATCAATGCTTTTTAATATACAATATAGTTTAAGTGCAATATACAATAAATATTCAAGCTTCATCTTAAACATGCTCTAGCCTTTAAATTGTTAAAACTGCAGTGCCCTTTCAATCTACTTACATAATGTCATAAAATATACATTTCAAGGTAAATGAAGTCAGCTACTTCAATTTAGTCCCTCAAACTGGTAGTAAATGAGAGGTTAACACTATGGTGCCAAACCCATTATTGAGTAAATTTAGCACCTTGGACAGCTCTGTAAAATCTTTATTGCTTTCCTGACCTGCTCGTCATGTTCTGTCTATGTGTTCAGTGGCTCTCAGCTCTGATTGAAAGGCAATATATTAGATCCCGAACACAAACATGCTCGGGGGCTGCTTCACTGTGAGCGTAATGACATGGAGGTGAGAACAATTTTCTGGTCACCGCAATCCAAGCACCTTGCAAGGTCTGTTGCTCCAACTTACAGAGGACTTTTGGGGCTCCTCTGTATGTGGAGTCGTAACAGTAGCTTCTACGGTAATTTAAGCAGAGCTGCGAAGGGTTTAAGATGCATTCAGAAAACAAGAAGTTAATATCTTGAGCATGTCTGTAGTAGCATTTTATTGTGTAGTTTTAAAGCTAGTTTGTGTCTGTAAGAACTACCGTCAGCTCTGGAATAGAAGATACCACTATTTGACACAGGAGTTTTTGTGTAACATCTACTTTGTATGATCTGAAAATGTCATAAACAAGAAATGCTTTTATTGTGTGAAAATATTGTTAGAGAAAGTATGAAACTCAAATTTACAGACACTGAAAATGATGAAAAATATATAACCATTGACTAGCTAGGAAAATCGAATGCTACTTGTCAAGCATATTTCAATAAACCATCATGACAATTAGTTTTATTTACATGCAATATGATATGGCATCATAGGACTTCCAATGTTTAAGAACTGGAATATATTTGATATTAGGTAGAGCAGATGTAAGATTCCATGTAATTACCTCGTTTTTTAACATGGTCCTCAATCCCTTTTTAGATGCATTCTAAGGTTTTTAGCTCAGCATTACATAAATAACTATGATTAGTTAGGTAGAGCAGAAATGACTATTTGAACTTTCTTTTTCTTAGTAATTTGGCATAATGACAGCTTAGGTTAACAATATTCCAAAGCAGTTTGTGGGCTCTGTATCACATTCTCATTTTCCATCAGTGAAATATGTAGTGCAAACAATTTCTACTGAAGTGAAATAAATCCTAGTTTGCAAAGTCAAACACCTGTGCAGTAATTTTCCACCTAAAATCATGGGTTGAAAAAGACAGCATTTTTCAGTAACATCTCTGTTCTTCTCTAGTTTGTATCTTCAGTATGAGGCAAAAAGGGCAACTCTCAGTGTTCTGATGATTTTGGAAAAGCAACAAGGATTGATTGTACCTGGATGTTGTTGTAGTCCCTCTGTCCATGATTATACTACTAACTGTTGTGGTCAAGCCACACAAAAAAAAACCCAAAACAACAACCACAACAGAAAGGGAAAAAACCCAAACCGACAACAAAACAGAAAAAGGCTGTAGCAACTTAACTCCTCAGAATCTATTTCAAATGAAGTGATTTACAAATCCATCAATTATAGATTACATCTCACTTCATATGTGGAAAATAATTTAAATGTGTGTTCTGAGAGAGGGGTGCGTGCAGCAGAAGGCAAGCCTAAATGTTTACTGGGAGTACAAAAATCCTCTATCTCATTTTTGAATTTAGGACATTATATATGTCATAAGTAGTTACTGCAGTATGACAACTATTTTATCTTATATTATAGAGAATTTAAAATTGAAAAAAATGCTAATATGCATCTAAAAGCTTGTCATTTGAAGAGTTGTTCAAGGATTTGTAAAGAGGTTATGGTGACAGCAAAATGAACGCAATTATATCTCTATTTTCTGATCAGAGTCTACAGTATATGAAAATTGAGCATTACTGTTTCTTTTTGGTATAAAATATGGCCATTGTGTAAAATAGATTAAGTTTAAAAGTTTAACTTTGTAGAAGACTGTAAAATCTTTAAAACTGGTACTATTTTTGTAAGCTACCTGCAGAAATATACCATGGTGAATAGCATCATGTTAGTATATTACAGCAGTACTTAGGGGCTGGGAATTACAAAAATATATTGTTTTACTCCAAGGACAGTCTCAATTGGTTTTGTTCAGGCAATTGGGAATCTGCTAGATGCTTTGAAAGAATAAGAAAAAAAATTTCTTCTAGGTTAATTCTGCAATGCATTTTTACATTTTCTGTCAGGATTGTTCATAGAGATTTTTCCACACTGTAAAATGTCAAAACACAGGAAATGCTATTATTACTGGAATGCCAGTTTAAAATACTCTAAGAAATATTAAGTGAAAAGGAACAAATAGGAAAATGGAGAAAAAAAAATTGCCCAAAATGGAGAACTAAATCCCAGACTATTTTAAATTCTGCTGTCCGTGCAGGGAATTTTTCCAGGAAACACTGCAGCATACTGGGCCATTCTCTCACACTGCATGTGTTTTCCTCTTGTGCATCATTTTACGTACATGGATCCCACCCTGACCCATCATATCAGGATACAAACCAAAGAAGTTGAAAGGTTACATTACCAGTAGCATAGGACTGATTGGATATCTTTTGAACGTGGCCTGCTGGGTAAGGTCACAATTCCTGCAGTATGCAATTAAGAATAAAATAAACACATCGAAGGGATTCATAACATGCTCTGAATGACATTGATTGCAGTAATCTAGTAAATGACCTCAGGATTGTATTCTGCAATAAACCGATGAGTGGTTTATAGTGCAGATGGTAGAGGCAATTGAGTGATGTATTTTATTTTGCAGCACCAATGATTCTCACCTTTTGACTTGATTAAGCGTGTGTGTGAATAGGATGAACTAGTGATTTAACACCATTCAGTGCTTGCTGAGAGTTGTTACAATTAAGGTGTACCTGGTGGGAGGAAAAAAAAAAACCACAAAACACGGTGCAACTAATAGAAGACTATAAAAGATTCTAATATTTGTTTTCCCCCACAAGGAGTTTATTGAACTCAGAGGAATGCATCTGTTTTTATATTGACAGGAAGTAATACTTAAGAGGGCTGCTGATTTAGTAGAAGCACTCTATGGTATGCCACATAATAACCAGGTAAATGCATTCTACTTCAGCAATTCTAAAACATGGCTATTTCTTAGATGTATAGATAGATCAGGGGCTAAAGGTATATGATACTACAATGTGAGACAAGAATGAATATAGAGGGCAATGTCATATTTGGAGTGGGGTTGAGTTTGCTTGGTTGCTTTTTTAAAGGGGGTGAATTTAGAGCTTGTAAAAGCAATGCATTATTAACCCTGGAGGCATTTGCCCACTTTCACCAGACACTATATAATATGGGCAATGATATGCATTATGTCTTGCCACCAGTGATTTTTCAATCTTACCCTAAAGATAGCTTTAAGGTGGAGTAAGTCTAGGCTCCAGCCCCGTTCTGCTGGTTGGTCTTGTTATACAGAAGTGTGGCCACTGGGACTGAAACTTCCAACTCTCTTACCACAGATGTCAGGATTTATCATGAAGGCAGCAGGTCTTATAAGCATCAGCTATCAGTCAGCCAACTGGTTTAGAAGGAAAAGCGTCTAGTTTTTGCCTTTGGACAGGGAAATGTTTCATTTTAGTGTGTAAGAAAGGGTTTGTCAGAGTCACATTGGTAACTCTTTTATTCTTTTTTTTCCTTCTTATCCTCTAGGAAATAATCCTGAAAAGAGCAGCAGACATCGCAGAAGCACTCTACAGTGTCCCCCGCAATCACAACCAGCTCCCCGCCCTTGCTAACACGTCAGTCCATGCAGGAATGATGGGAGTGAATTCCTTTAGTGGTCAACTAGCTGTCAATGTTTCTGAAGCCTCACAAGCCACCAATCAGGGTCAGGAGAAGACTCATCTTCCTCTCTCTATGAACCTTTTCTGATAAAAGTCAGGGAAACGTGCACAGCAGTGAAAGAGTGATGGTTCAAAACTGAAGGCTAAGAGCACGGCTAGACAGACACGACCGCACGTGCATGCACAACCTTTGAATGACACAATACTGTCATGAGATGGGGCTTTCTTTAGTGACTTTCGCCCCAATGTGGGAAAAGCACTTCTGCATATAGCTAAATAGCTTTTCTTTCTGCTCAGAATAACACTTGTATTTGTGTTTAAATCCCACTAATTTTAAAAGGATTTCTATCGACTTGAGCATGTACTTAATGTTAAGTACTTGCTTATATATTTTCCTGAGCATGGATGATCTCTCAGTCTGGGCCCTATGTAGTGTTTCTTTATATATTTATCCCTTGAATATTTGTCTGGTTTGGTTTGGTTTTGCAAGAGACATAATATTGGCACTGATTTTTTTTCCAGAGTTTGAGACTCTTCTAAATTTTGAAACTAGCAAAAAAATAGAAATATTTACAAAGACATTTTCAGAGCTTCTCTAATTTCTAAAATAAAGCGTTTTTCACTTTGTATAAAATCAATATTGTTTTAATTACTACAGTTAAAAATAAAAAAAAAAATGTGAAGAACATTTTGGTAAAATCCCTTTGCATTTTCCCCTCTCTTTTGCTCAGCTCTATTTATTATCCAACTTAAAAATCCACTTTAATGAGGAAGTATTAGAATGAAGCTGTTTTCTAGAAGGGCAGACAAAATTATTTTGCATTACACTAAAAAAATATAAATGATTTTTAGATTAAAATAGTTTTATGGATGTACTGTGTGGTAGGAAGAAAAGTTGGCATTTTTTCTTCTAGGAGTGAAGATGCATTTTCTATTTCTGCGCTTCTAGAAAGAAAACTTCCCTTTTGGATATTTGGAGATGAGTTTCCCCAAACATCATTTCCAGAATTAGGTAGAGATTCAAATTTTATGTTGGTGCCAAATTTGATAGTCATTTTGTACCAACATAATGATCAGACCAGGGCAAAAACACTAAGGATATCGCACTACTTTGAGAAATACACCCTACATTTTCTGAAGTGTGCAGTGAGCATCTAATTTGAGATGCATTAAATGAGAGAGACATCAGAAGAGAGTTAACAAAAATTGCATGCTTTTAAGTACATACCTTAAGTCGGTACGTACTCCTCACTTTGAAAATGTAGGTCATGTTTACTCCATTTCCTACAAACAGCTCTTTTAGAGTGTTCCTATAATACCCAATGGTAATCTTTGCTTGAGAGCATGGGTTGCCTGAGGAGCTGTGAAGGCTGTAGCCTCCCTCCTCCCCCTTTGTGCTCCCATCAGCAATGACCTAGGCAGTGAGGGTTCATGATTTGGGTTACCTGGTGGTAGTGGTGGTCAGTTCTGGCCCTCCCCGTGCACACCATGGCTGGACTAGGCTGCTGGCTTGGTAGCCCAGAGTTACTTGCTTGTAGCTGTTTGTGTAAGAAACTGTTCTTGGGCTAATATCAATTTCTAAATGTATTCCCTCCCCACAAAAGGTTTTACTCGCAACTCAAGCAGCGTGTCACCTCATGGCTATGTGCCAAGCACCACCCCTCAGCAGACAAATTATAACTCTGTCACAACAAGCATGAATGGCTATGGGAATGCTGGAATGTCAAATTTAGGCGGTTCTCCAACCTTTCTGAATGGATCTGCTGCCAATTCTCCCTATGCCAGTGAGTATTATATGGCTTTTCTGTATTTTGCACATTATCATTAGAAGGAGATGGTGACTTTTCTGTGATACTCAATATTTAGTTTCTATTTTGAGCACTTGAAACAGAGCTTGGTCCTTTCTCTCCTCTCCAAGGCACTGACCTTTGAAGCACTTTGCAGACATTAGTGTTGCCAGCAATGCTCTTCTCTGTTTTTTTTTTTATTACTATTATTATTATTATTATTATTAGGGAGTCTCATAAGAGCTTAAAAAGAATAATGTCTGTCATGATTTGGGCTAATAGTTTCATAACTTTCCTTATACTCTGTAAATAAGAAACACTGTCCCCAACATTGCTAGAAAGCAGGGGTGGCATAAGTGACTTAATGTCCGTTGGAGTGGATCAAAAGTCAGTTGTCAGTACACAGCTTTTTGTTGCAGTAGGTATGAAAGGAAGCTAAGGATATTTGCTGCAGGAAAAATAGTTTTTTCCAGCTGTAAGATATGAAGGGCAGAAAAGTTTACTGTAATAAGACTGACATTTCCATAAGCTGCATGATGATGTTTCTGAGACCTCTGAGAAAATAATATGTTCATAACCTTTATAGAAATTATGAATTACTATTGGGCCTCAACTTGATTGCTTATACTCCATTTGCTTTGTAAGTAGGTATTATATTGACTTCACTGAGAGCTTAGTATTAGTCAGTAAAATGTGACAATGGCTCTTAGAGTTTGTGTTTTAGTGTCTGTACAGTGAATGCCACAAAGATGTAAGTCATACAAATCATCTATTCCACGGCGTAAAGAGCTTATGGTGTACAATCCCAGTTATGGAAATATTTATGTGTAGGACTAACTTTCTGCATTTTGATATTAAAGGTTTGGTCACCTGTTTAAATACATTTCTATCGGCAAAGGCCTATGAACCTCTTCTGCAGCCGCTCACACAGCTCAGTAGTCCCTATTCACATGAGATAATTAAATGAATAGGACCTGCCCAATTCCTCTGATATTACTCATGTGGCATAAAGGATCCCATTGACATCTGTAGAAAGCTGCTAACAGAATCAGGCCAGAAGGTCTTGTCATATAAATAGGTTTATAGGCTGAGACCCTAGCGTGGACAGGACAAACGGACTGCTGAACATACCAAGGTTTACGCAGCAAATCTTAAGTTTAGTGGTGTAACAGCAGTAATGAATTATTTTTAATTGCATTCCTAGAGTTCAGAATTAAGAAGGTGATAGTAACCCCGATTTAAAAAATTACCTCCAAGGCTTCTTAGCTGCTGCAAATTTAGAAGAAAATATTTACCCACATAACTAGTACTTATAACCTGGGAATTGCTAACCAGTTATTATTTTTGTACTCTAATAATAATGTAACAAGTAATGTTACAAAGTACCTTACTTATTAAGTTGAATTTACTGTCATAGAGTCTGTGCACTCTGAATTCATAATATAACATGATTGATGAGACATCTCTTTTTGGAAGCAGATGCCAGTAATACATTTAAAATACTCTAGCGGTGTATTATTTCATATTTATGAACGAAGTCCTCTTTAGAATAGCACTTGGCTTCCCAGCCCTGGTTCTCTATTCTAGTTATATTTTGGGAGGTTTTCTTGGTAGATCTGTCATTCTGCTAATGCCTAATCCATTGAATCAGAAAATGCTTCAATCATGACCTGAAAATTAAAAGGTGGCATTCTTAATTAAATCAATAAACTAATTGCTGTATAGTAGCAATTCAATTTAGGTGCTTTGATTGCTCTCCCTTAGCAAGTACTTCCAGACATAGAGTGACTTCAGACTAAGATTATATCTGTCAGACTGTGAAACTTTGAACATTTAATTTCCATTAATTGATTTCCTCAGTGTTAACAAATATGATATCAGATTCTCAAATAAGAACTTAAATTGGGTGATTTTTATCTACATAAATGCAAATAAAAAAATAATTCAAAGCCCAGATGATAGGAATTTTACTCTATAATATGTAATTATTCATAGACCCCTCATGTATATAAGCAGTTTCTAAACAGGATGAAGAATGAAAATATGGGATCTTACTATTGGTCCTTTCCTTTTTTCTGTTGGATAAGAGAGGAAACCGGCAATGCTGTCTGAATATAAAAGTAATTGGCTTTATTTTCATAAAAACAAATTTACTTAAAACCTCAACGATAAGTACATGAACCAAAGATATTTATCCCACTATATAGTAAAATAACGGTTTAAGGATATATGTATTTAGAAACTGAACCTCCTATTTAGCAGGTTTGCATTTTGGACAATCAGTTCAGTCCCTTAAAAAAAGGAGAGCCTTGTGTCTACACTTATTTAGAAAAACTGAAGACTCTCATTTTATTCAGTCTTGTAGTTAAAGCCAGATCTTCATGTGATGTAAATCAGAATGGCTTCATTGCTTAGCTATTCCGGCTGAGATTCCAGTCGATGGCTCTGAATGACAATGTTGTATTGCCTGTATTCAGACGGTGGTCATAGACAATTATTTGTCTTGACCATTATAAAACAGACTTTCATTTTCAAAATTTTCCATCTTGGGTGAGATATGAAATGCCAGCTCCATTCCTGTGCATAAAGAAAATGGTCACGTGAGAAATATGACTGTTTTTCATGTCACTGAGAATTCCTGGGAAATCCCCACAGCAGAAACTTTCCCAAAGCTGATGGATACAGGGAAGCTGGAGACTGACTTGGTACTAGTAGGTATAACATGGAAAGCATCTGTGGCCATTGTGAGAAAGTGGTTTCTCCCATTGGGAGATAAAAGAAAAGCATGATTTCTGCCAGTTATCCACACCTTTTTTTGTGCAACAGACACGGAAAACACTAGTGCCAGGAGACCAAAGGAGTAAAAAACTGTCAGAGTGGCCATCTTACTGGTTGCTTCATGCTGGACAGCCTCCATATATATGTGTGTGTGTGTGTGTGTGTATTCACATCTTTCAGAGTAACTTGTTTTAAACCCTAGTTCTTGCAGGGTTTGAGAGAGGAAAGAAACCCAAACATTTTTGCTGACTTTTGACAAGCAGGTTGACTGGGTCACCACTAAGACCTCTCTACCTTCTGCAAGTTTGCTTGAAACTCTGTAGGTCTTTCTGGAGCCATCTTGCTACAAGGAAAGCTTGGCTTGAAATGCTGGTTTTGGAGGCCAGTTAAAAACTCAAGCCTTTCCAAGTTAAAAATTCCAGATCCAGATTTGTACTTTAACCACTCTCTTTGCCCATCGGTTTTGTAACCCCTGAGTTACCTACACAATCTGGATTTCCTCTTATCCACCTACACAAAAACATTACAAATTCGGACCAGGGCAGTGGCTAATGCCAATCACTAGAAAAGTTTGAAACAGGATGGCAGGACAGGGTTGTTGTAAGAACAAAGAATTGCAGTGACAGAGAATTAAGGGAGTGTTTAAGAGCTCCTAGAATTACTGGTCCTGAACACCTGAAAAACAAAAAAAAGCAAAACAATTAGTGGGTTTCCTGTAGTGATTGATCACACTTTGTGAACAACCAGAAATCTAACTGCAGTAAAGGCCTTGGCCATTTGAAATTAGACCCAGTGCATCCAAGAAGGAGAATTCTCTTGTTTCTGCAGCCTGCTGATTATCTAATACTAAGGAATGCCTTTTGGGGGGGGTCTTTTTTTCCTCTAGTTGTGCCATCAAGTCCGACAATGGCCTCCTCCACTAGCCTCCCCTCAAACTGTAGCAGTTCCTCTGGGATTTTCTCCTTCTCACCAGCCAACATGGTCTCAGCGGTGAAACAGAAGAGTGCTTTTGCACCTGTCGTGAGACCGCAAACTTCTCCTCCTCCCACCTGCACCAGCACCAACGGCAATAGCCTGCAAGGTAGGTGAAACCAAGTCTGGAGCATAGATGGCTGCTCTCAAAACCGTGAGTTCCCGGCACCTTGCGAGGCTCTAAGCGACACTGAGTTGTCAAAGGGGAGAGAAGACAATGGGGGATCCCTGGTGGTCTCTGTCCTAAAGTTTCCTCCTGTAAAGAGTAACTGGACTCCACCACCAGCCCACCTAGTACCATGCAGGTGTTTGGCAACCACCCTATCTCTAACTCAACTAATACTGCTGAATTGAAAAGCTGTGTCTTTTAAAGCACAGACCTACTGTTATGATAAAAACGAGTAATATTTCAGCTTACTAATACCATCCTTTTTCTTTCTTTCCTCTCTTATTCCCTGTTGTCGTCCTTTATCAGACCAGTCTTTTGTGGACTCTAGCAAGTACTCCACTGCAGGGTCTCTCCAGGGGCTGGCCTTCTCCTGAAGTACGTCACTCAATCTTCCCTTCCTTTTTTTCCTTTGTCATAGTACACTTGTGCAGAAATCCTACCGAGAGCAAATAGACCGTTACAGAGCTTGGCACAAACCTCTGCCTTTCATAAATAGAAGACACATTACAAACTAATAGCAGCATTTTCCAGTTTAACTCATACCAGGGCAAACATTAGTTTCCACTGATTAATGTACTTCTGTGCCAATTGATTCCATAAATGGCACAGGGCCTTTTTGAAAGCCTCTTCAACTGTTGGTATCAAGGGGCTGCTCCTTTTCTGCATCCCTTCCCCTCTCATTACAAAGTATTCCAGCATTAGCACCTAAATATGTTTCAAAGTGTTGATGCAAGCCGAGGGAGTGACAGACAAAAGCTTGTCAAACTGAGGATGCTGCAAAGACCAGCTCTGCCCATTTCACTGTTTGGTTCAGCCTGTTTTACAACACTGTGCCTAAACCTTCCTGTGTGATTACCTCACTACATTTTAGTGTGCTGAGAGAGACATTTTCATGCTCGCTTAGACTGAGGAGTTTCCATAAGCAGATGCAGCCAGCTGCCTCCAACTGTGCCAGAGGTGGGAAAGATTTTGCCGTATGCATTGTCCTTCCCCCAGACCTGAGGTCTGTTTTCTTTTCCACGTGCCTGGGCAAATTATCCAAAGAGCATCGAGCAGGGAATAAAATCCTTCATTTTTAAAGCTGTGTTCAGAAGGAGCTGTGCAGAGCCAGGGAAGGATAGTTCCACAGACTCCACATGTCACTCTACGGCCTCTGGAAAGAGAAACGCCAGGCTTGCGGGCATAATGCTGATAGCACCATTAACAGCCAAAAAAATCTATATGCAGGCAGAGTGGAAGGAATTCATTCATAAAAGCTGGGATCTATTGTGACTAAAGGAAAACATTGTCCTCAGTGCATGTTATACTGGTGAACTGGGAGGAGGAATCCTTACAGAGGTACACACACACACAGAGAAATTGTGAAAATACTAGGAGCATATAAGCAGAACTTGGGTACCTTCGTTCAGGACTTTGTTATAAATACAGACTACGTCAAGAATAAAACACAACAAAATTTTCAGATGAGCTGTAGTGTTTAGGAGATTAATTTTTGTGTGTTTTAAAAATTTGGTACTGCCGACAAGCTACAAATTTTAAAGGCAACAGCTAAAAATGTTTCATTTCTGTATTAAAAAAATAAAAAAGGAGCTAAGAGTTGACTCCTAGAAGCTTTTGATCATGTTAATGTTTTTTTTCTTCTCTTCACCTTGTCCCAACCTGCTGCTGCAGGTGGAGAGAAAAAGCGAGTAACAGGAGAAAGCTTTTTCAGGCACTGTTTTTCTTTTCACAAGACACAGAATTCCCAGATTCCACGTATTTGGTTATGAAAAGCAATTATGGAATGAGCTGCTAGCACCAGATGCAACTGGGGTTTGCTGTTTGCCTCCTCATTATGTCACATCCAGATCCGTAATGCCCAGAAACCACACAGATCTGAATGTTTCCCCTAATTTTTATTTAGCCATTCAGTTTTCATAATAGGAATGAGACACCAAGAGATGGTTCATTTCTAGGTCATCACTGAACAACTTGGTGAGTTAAAGACCCACAGCCTTTAGTCCCATGCCTTCTGACACCACCTGAGGCTTGTAATAATCACTCAGAAATGCACTGCCTGTTGTGCCTTATTGCTTAAATAAACAACCATGTATAAGGAGGCTGTCTTATCTCTCTTGGGCTTCTGGATACATCAGAAAGCAATCAAGCTTTCCTTGTGTAGCTTGGATATCAACAGAACTCACTAAAACAACAGCTAGGCTTATCTGTTGTTCTCTTTGCCATGCAATTTTGTAAAACTCGAAATATATTATTTCTGTAATTTGCTAGCAGCAAATACAAATTAGTATATGATAGAAGAAATAATGCCCATTGGTGGGAGTTTTTGTACTCTCTGCCCTCCCTTTTTGGAGCTGGTGTGATCTCATACCTACACTCTTTCCCACTGATATCTCTGTTTTCAGGATCAATAACATGCTACAGCTGAGAGAATCTGCATGACTAGATGTAGCACTTACGGAATAAAAGTAGAGTGATATAAATGAAGACTTGGAAAGAATGGAAATATCAAAGCTTTTAGGCAGAAAAGACATCATTTTGCCATTTGCCTTGTAATTTAATTCAGAATTTCAGCGCTCTTCAAAAACAATAGTGCTTTGAGAAAATGAGCAAAGATCTGCATCTGTTGCCATTTGTTTCCAATGGCAAAAGGTGCATGGCTGGTATGTAACTACAGGGAAATGTCTAAGCCATGAAGGGAGGAGTTGCAATTATGTCACCTTTGTTTGGGCTCTTACCCAGGGTAGACAGCTGTGCTTTCCCAAGAGAGAGACAATTCTAGACCATTTCTCGTTGAAATCAATTTGGTTTTGATTAATTTTTTAGCTTGAGAATTTTTTGTTGGAATAATATTTTGACATTTTCTGAAGTGTAGGTATTTTCTTTAAAGCGAAACAACATCTTCTTTTAAAGTTTCCCTAAATGTAGAATTTAGAAAGGGCTGAAAAGGACAAAAAAGGTTAGAGTAGAATGCACAGAGGATTAATTATCCATCTGACTCTGCTCAGTTGCACTCATCACATATAGGAAGACTCTCCCCATTCCCATCTGCTCAACTCCTGGCTTATCTGAGCAGTAAAGGAGGGAGCACTGTTGTCAGTATTGCTTTTCTCTGCGCTGTAACACACGGCGCTGACGTCCAAGCACTGCAGACCCACCCCTATAATCTGCTAAACAACTGCCATCCAGAAATCTCCAAGTGCTTTACTAATAGGGATAAAAATTGTTATCCTCAGGTAAGAAACAGAAACAAGTCAAATTGCTCAATGGGCTAGAAGGAGAACTGGGACAAAACCTGTGTCTCAGGTCCATGCCCTCGTGAGTCTTTCATATATTCAGATAGGGAAAATTACACTCTCACCCTCAGCTGTAGGTGGCTGCCTTGCAGGGCTGCCACAGCAGAATTACAGTCTGGTTGACTGTATCCGTTGCTGTCAATACCTATTCTATTGATGCAATAGAGGTCCGTGGTTCAAGGTCCATATCCTGGCCCACACTCTAAGGATCTCAAGAGCAGAGCAGGGAGGAACCACAACAGCGAGAGCATTGCTTGGCTTGGGTTTCCTTCACTTTTAGTCACATGAACCAAAGGGACAGCCCAATTGGGAGGATTCAGAACTTGTTATTTGAGACACTGCTGAAATAAAACCCTTTGAGAATTCTTTTAAACAAAGCTGCTGTTGTTTCACCCAGTGTTGATTAAATCAGCAAGGATTCTAAAAAAAAGCATTATCAAATTCATCCTGTGATTTGAGATGAAGGAGACAGCATAGCTATGGAGATAATATGAAAATGCATCCTCAGATTATCTCCATGGTAGAGCCAAAAGTAGCCCATGACAGGAAATACCTCAGCAAGGAACATCTAAGACACGGTGGTGTTCTCTATGCTACTCACTTGAGTGTCTTTATGTAGGGCTTAAAGCAACTCAGGTCACCTCTCTATCACTTTTACCCTCATTCTCAGCCCCTTGAAGAGCCCTTATATGGAGCGGAAACAATCAGTGCAGTGATTCCACATAAAAACATTGCTGAATGATAAATTCCAAGAATCGAAATGCTGCTGTATAGTTGCAACATGTCACCTCTGAGGATGGCCTGTTGCAAACATGTGGATGTGTTTTGCATTCTTGCCTTCTCCTCTCATTTTATTTCATTTAATCAGTGCAGTTCACTCGAGCTGTTCTCCCCTTGCTGATTAGACTTGTAATTCTTGCACATATGGTGGTGTTTGTGGAGAAAACATTTCCCTCCTCTCCCCCTCCAACCCCAAATCTGTGAGTCTTTTACTTTGGCTCTGTTCTTATCAAATAATTGCAGCTGTAATTAAAGCACAATGAATCAGCACCAGTCACAGGGTTGAGTTCTTCCTTAAGAAATTACATGTCCAGATGTCTGAGATGGCAGGCAGTTCTAGCATTTAAATAATGTGCCCATGAAGTGCCGCCAACCTGAAGGCGAATCTGTTTTCTACCTTTTGGCAAATAACCGTACAACTAGTATTTTAAAGATGCATTGTTGTTACAGTTTTCATCATAAGCTTGCATGACTACCTCCTGTAATGATGTGCTTGCTCACAGCATATCACTTGGACACTTGGTATGTCTGATCTGCAGAGTCCCTGGTAAATAGAGGGAGACCAAGCTGGAGGTCAAGCTAGGTGGAAGACTGTATCTGTTGACTTTTAATGAATGTCTCCTCTTTAAGAGACGTGGTGGTTTCATAGAAAATGATGTCAGGAAGCATAATAAAGAAATACTGATGATTCAACTTAGCCAACAAAAGAGAAGACATTCTAAATTAACATTAACATACAACTCACTCAATGTAGTTTGTGATGTCTGCTACAAGTGTAATAAAACCATGAGACGCCGGTCTGCTAAACCACCAGTTAAGGACATATTTCAATTTGAAAATTGGATTTGAGAGTTTAAGTCCTTTTCTGAGCATCTGAAAATGCATACATAAGTCCCAGGGCTGAACACCGAACTTGTAAGAGAAAACTGGCATAGGAGAATGAACCACTGTTAGTGTGCCTAATGCAACTAGCACCCTATCAGATCTGTAATATTGCTGGCCTGTGGGACTCCAGCCATTGTCTCATGTGTGGAGCAAGTATCTGCTTTGCTTTTAAGAGTAACAGAATGTGTGGCAATGGCTGGGTCAGGTTTAAGCCTCCTGAGCATTTTGAGATTTTGAAACTAAAATCAGGAAATTAAGCTGGGGTCTGAGTCTGATATCAGGGGAAGCGCACTTTTTCTGCAAGAAAATCACTGATTTCAGCAGTCACTTGCAATTTAAACCACTTTCCGATCAGAATGAGGCTTCCTATGATTACTGTGTACATAGTTGTCTCTGCTGGATGATACTTATATATAAATGTAATTCACAGTACGGCTGAGTATGTTGCTAGTTTAAAAGCTCTGAAGATTTTAAAAGTTGCTTGCTGATGCACCAGAGTAACTTCCCCCCCATCTCTCTCTCCCCCTCCCCTATCCTTTCCTTCTGACAGCTATATCTGGCATGATTGTTCCCCCCATGTGAAAGAATTGCCTTGAAGAATTTTATTAATGAAGAGGTTGAATTCTGCTTCAGAGAGAATCTGATACAAGTCCCAGAGTGGAACTTTTTACTCAGGCCTTTTTAAAAATAAAAAAGAAATAAAGAAGAATCTTACAATAACTGCGGATTTTTAAACAAAACAAAAATCACCATCCTTGCAAACACTGAAATTAACAATCTACAGTTGCAAGGTGTTGATTCAAGTTGTCCATCCCAAATACCTGGGAGATATATTTATTGTATGTTGGTAAAAAAAATCCACTTTTTTTTTTTTTGCGGGGGTGGGGGCTTGCTTTTTTTTCCTTCTATTTTTTGTGGTTTTTTAAGGCTTGATTTAACTCCACACCATTTGTCTTTTATAAATCATACAATTACACAAGGGCTAGAGATGGAACTCCACATTTTTAATTTATTATTTTTTTAAAGCTGTGTAAAGAAAAAAGAAGTGGTGCCATTTAAATACAAGTCTGTATGGGACAGAATAGAAGTGCCAGTTAGTTTTTTGTAGAAGAATTATGGCCATTTAATTAAGGGTCGGCTCATACAGGTTGCTTATCCAGTGGTGACTAGGTAATATGGTGCATTTTTAATGTTCTAATTAAATAGATATCACTCCCTAGAAAGCTGATATTTTTGGATGGCAAGGGCGGGATGAGGGGTGGGATTAGTAACCTCTGTCTTTAGTATCAGGCTAAATAATTGTGTAAATAATACAATGAGAAAAGTTGGTGAAAGCAAAGGTAAGGATGCAAATAACACATTTCCTCTTGAACTGAAAATCCAGTGCCTCTAGATGTAACGCTAAAACTGCAGAATGAGATGAGCATGGCCCTCTCATGAGCTTGTCTATCAGACTCTTTCCAAATGAGTGGCCTTCTTGAAGTTTAGTGTCACCTGAGCTGTGCATAAAATGCCGTTTGGATTTTGCATAGCTGTCTAACGGCACAGCCTGCGGCCGTCACACGTGGGGCGTTTTCGGCGTAGCCCCTCTCCCCTTGATCTATTTGTTTTTGTGGGGCAGAATGAGAACAGACTCGTCTGCGGTTCTGCAGCCTCACAATCTAAAAGCACACGTTTTCGTCAGCCTCCCACTAGGATTGTTCCTGTATCAGTCGACCCTCTCAGTTTGTATCATAATATATTAAGCAACAGGTAACTGCTTTTGAATAGTAAATGGAAACATGAGTTTGGGGGGTGGGGGGTGGGGCCGATAGGAAGGTTTCAAATCAAAACCATAGCTTCTGTTTTACAAAAGTTTTGCTATCATTATCTGGGAAGTGTTCTTAAAAACTATTAGTCAAAGAGGCAGCAAAGCTCTGAAGATGCATTACCTGATATTTTTTCTTTGCTGTTGTGTTTTGTATGTAGTTATAAATACTGTAGATTTTTTGTGATTTTTTGCCAAAGTTGTTGTTCTATTTATACATTTTAATGTCTTAAGACAGTTTTTCAATATCACAAAAAAAGAATTTTACTGCATATTTTGCAAAAAGAGCTCACTACCTTTAGCTTGCACATACTTGCAAAATTAATTAAAGAAAAAAAAAGCTTTTTGTTTCTGTTTTTTGTTTGTTTGTTTTAAAGGGGATTTTGTAAAATATCCATATAAATAATGTATTTATCTTTGGAATTTGTACATTGCTTTTTTTCCCCTACCAATTTTATTTTATTGTGTATGTTTGCTATGTGAAAAGTGCTGATTTGTTTGGTCAATGACCGTTGTATTAGCTGTTTAAATGTGATTTTAAAACATTTCATTTATAGGGTTTTTTTTAGTATTGTTTAAAACCATGCTTCCATTTTTTTTAATTTCCACCCAAAAGCCATTGTCTATTTTTGTATTATTTGTAAGTTAAGAAGTTTTTTCCAATATATGGCAAAAAGTAGCATATTATTCTTGTAGCATTTAGTTATGTAGATTTTAAAAAAAATGTATCCTTTGCTTTTGAGGCTTAACAAAAACTAATGCTGTTTTACTCTATTAATATGCATGGGATTTCTCCTCTTTGGAGTGACGCATTTTTGTGCATTAAATATGGGGAGAAACTTCATAGGACTCAATGAAAATACTTTCTTTCTTAAGTCTGCTTGTATATTTCTCTGTCTTTCACATAAATATAAACCAGCAGATTGGATGCCTTAACAATGCAAATCATATTCATTTCACTTGTACATTGTACTGTGCACCAGAACTGTCAATCATCACTAACATTCTAAGAAAAAAAAAAAGGAATTGAAAAGCACAAAAGAACTGTTTTGTTACCTTAAAACAATATAACTTTTTTCTAGTCGAGCAAGAAATCATTTACAACGATGCTGCAACTGTGCATGCTTCCTGTATGAATTTTGCAATGGTTTTCACTAGAATGTCACAGTGTGATCTTTGGGGGGAAGGGAAGAAAACAGGATTTTTTTTTTTCGTGGTGAGAAAATAAAAGAAGAGAAAACTGGAAAATGTGAGAGACATCAGTTTATTGCTTCTCTGTATTCCAAGCGATTATTCTAATTCACATAGTAAGCAACAGCACGACAATGTAATCAAATTTAAAGCCATATTTTGTCCAGTGACACCATCAATTACTCTTGCAGAGCTCCACTCAAAGTCATAGCGATTTTGACACCAGTGTTAGCCATCGATGTTTGTAGTCTTCTACGCCAGTGTCCAAAGATCCTTTGACAATGTGCATAATTTTGTTTTGTTGCAGCTATTTATAGTGATCTGATGAATGGGAATTTATAAAAATCTCCCCCGCACCACCCTTATCTTTTACAAAGTAAAAGATGCAGCTGTTTACAGAATATGGCTTTAAGTGGAAACATTCAGATTTCAGTTTTAACAAGGTGAAGCTTCACAATGACTGGATTGCATAAAGTATGCCTATTTCCTCACAGTTGTACTAGGATGCAGCTAAAATGAAGTCATCTCTGAAACTACTAACCTTTCACCTTCTTATCTAAATCTTTTTGAATAGACACACACACTGTACAGTTCTATTGTTAGAGAAACTAACTACTGTAGAGATTGTTATAATTTTTTTGCAGAAATTCAAGCTGTAAAAACTTTTCAACTTTCACAATATTTAATTAAAGTTACTTCCTGTCTGTGAATACAGCTCCTAGTTGTGTGCTTATTTTTCTGCTTCTGCTGGCTACTAGATGAGAAAAAATAAAATGTAGAAGCCAGAAGCTACTGAATTGTCTTTCTGAAATTAAGGAGAAGCAGAAATTCATGGTATTACACAGCGAAACATGGTGAATGCTGGTGCACTGAAACTCCTCTTCCTGTGTCACTAATGGATTTCAAAGGATCCTCACTCATAATGCTGAATGTTCATCCTGTTGTTGTTATTCTTATTATTGCCATTGTTTTAGTCTATTGATTGCCTCAAGGGCCAATGTATTTTTCTAGCGGATTTCAGGAGCATACCTAGCTTTAGGTACCCAGTTGCAAAGAGCTGTCTCTCTGAACACAGTGATCATGAAGTACAAGACAAAGGCATATTAGACCCCGTGCCAGAGACCCAGAGAGATTTAAGTTTTCATCTTGGTATTATTTAACTCAATGACAACACCTCCAGGACCAGGTCTTAAGTGACCTGCCCAAGGCCAGCTCCAAGAACTGCATCAAAGTATGTTGAGCTGTAACTAGCTCCTTGACTTGACCATGAAGGAGGCCTCTATAAAGTGTTTCCATTCTGCTACCCTTCCTAAATGACAAATCCATCAGCTGCTAAATTGGTTCTAGGCATTTCATTTCATTCTGTACTCCTCTGGCAGGAGAGGACCATAAAGATCTTTACCTCTGGCATGTGGAAGGTTGACATAATGGCGCTTAACTGGGCCTGAAGAGTGGCTGTCATACAGAAGGCCTGTATAGGGACAATCAAAAACCCTTAAACACCACGCCTAATGCAAGGCTCCACGCATTTCCAAGGTAGGAATAGGGATTTTGGGGTTGCAGTTTAAATTAAATTAAAATTTACTTTAAAAAATTAAATTTGCTGAAAACATAAGCAGCTGGAAATGGCTTCTTGCAATGTAAAGTGTTGGATATCTCTTACATGTTAGCAGATCCACTCCAGTAGTTGTTAGAGAAAAGAGAGCTGTTGGCAAAGTCAGACCCCCAAATGTGTTTACTCTGTCAGCACGAGAGATCTGTTTCTTCTGTCTGAGATAATTCTCCTGGTTCTCTTTCAAATGGTGTGAATATTGGCAGCTCTCACTGCAGCTGAGCGCTCTATGAGTGCTCAGATCACTAGAAAGATGTTGGGTCACATGTAGCTGAACAGCAGTCTTAAAGATTAAATTCAGGATGTAATATTAGGCAACCTGCTTTAGGTGCAGCAGAACCAGAGCTCTGGTTCAGCTGTTTGGATCCAATGAGAATGTTTTTGTCTGAAATTTAATTTAATTTCAGCCACAAAAAAAAAAGGGTTCAGCTGTTGGATCCAATGAGAATGTTTTTGTCTGAAATTTAATTTAATTTCAGCCACAAAAAAAAAAAAAAAGGGTAGGGGGGGGGGGGGGGGAATGATGAAACCTGCCA